GCTCATAGGGGGGAGAGGCGCGTTTAGGGACCAATGTAACGTCTGGAGAGCTTTATTAAGCATAGTCGACTGTTGGAGCAGCGACTCCTCCCCTTGCTGCCTCGTTTTGGATCACCAACCGGACTTTATCTAAAACTCCGGTTGCCTGGCCGCTTCCACCATCGACCGTTTATTAGCAGACGACATAACATCTCTCTGCTCGTGAAGAGCCGACGGACTTCTGCAAGCCCAAGGCCACTCACGTGTTTTCGCCTCGCGTCGCCTTGCTTTTTCCCCTGTCCCTCAGCTGTATCAACTGTCCCACCTCATGGCCGAACCAGTGGTAGCCAGTACCCTAGAGCTTACCAGTACTGGGAGCCTCAGATCCAAGCTTCCTGCGGCCAAATGGGGAGCTGCCTGTGCTGCCTGTGCAACCGCCAAGGCGAAGTGCATCCGCACGAATCCTGATGTAGAGTCAAAATGCGACCGGTATGTTAACCTGCTGGGACTGCCCATTTCCCTCGTTAAGCTTAAATGTTACTGTATTTCTAACTAGGATTCGCACTTAGATGCGAGAGGCTACTCAAGAACTGTAACAAACAGGTTCATCGCGTCCGCAAAAAGAGACAAGTAAAACCGTCGTAAGTCGCCCAATCGAGCCATGCATGTACACCAGGCACGGCTGCTACGTTATGTGTAGCGAATCTCTGCCAGATTCTAACCAATCGCTAGTCGTACTGCTCGTATTGAGGAAAGGCTAGACAACCTGACCAATATCCTGCAATCCTCTGGAGATCTTTCAAGAGCCGGAATTGATCGTGATACTCTCCGCCTGGCTCTCGAGGGAACGAAGGACACACCGGAAAAGTTCGAGGCCAGCGAGGGTCCCTGGGCTGTCCCGGAGCTCTTCAACTCCCACGCGCCGGGAACATGCCTGTGCCGCCCTGTTACAGGCGAGGCACCTCCCCCTCCGGATACGGATGACAATCTGCTGGATCTCTACCGGAGGGAGTTGATGCCACTGAACCCTTTCGTTGTCGTCCCGCCCACCATTAATGCGGCTGGCCTGGCGGAGACCAGGCCTTTCTTAATGGCGGCCATCAAAACCGTAGCTTCATTTCGAAGTTTAAGATCAATGCGTGCCCAGACATATTATTTGATGAAGCACCTCTCTGATCACATTCTCATTCGATCAGAGCGGTCGCTGGATCTGTTACAAGGTTTAATCGTCATCATCTCCTGGTATCAGTACCACTGCTTCATCCATGCGCAGTTGAGTAACTTGGTAGGCCTGGCAACATCGCTTATAAGTGATATGGGCTTGACTCGCCCAAAGTATATTCCTGGCCAGTTCGATCCCAATGGGCCGAAAGCGCATACCGCTGAGGAAAAGCGCGCGTTCGCTGGTGTGTGGTTCAACTCCTCAGTGTATGTTCCTGCTCTTCATGGCTTCAAAACGAAGTGTGCCCTTGCTGACGCTGGACAGTGTATCTATAGGATACGGGAGAACAGACAGCTTGCGATTTACGAAATATCTCCAGCAATGTTTGAGAGACCTAGAGGATGCCAATGAAGAAGAGACAGATATCGATCTCGTACATCTTGTCCGTATCCAGTATCTGACGGATCGCATCAATTCACTCAAGGAAATGGATAGAGCCGACTCCATACTGGACAACACCCCCTTGCATCTGATGTCTAAAGCAACGTATATAAACTCTTACCAGACCGAAATCAACCATATTCAAGAGCGACTGCCGCTGAGACTCAAGATGAATAGTTAGTCCGCCACCATCCCTTTAGTATCAGTCCGGGGATACTGACATCATTCGCAGAGATATTCATGTTAAACCTACATACTGCGAGCCTGCGGCTGTATGAGCCGCCTGACGGGACTAAAATCCCGTCCTTGACGGAACCTCAAAGCACAGATACTTCCTCATCAGCGTTGGAAGACATCTATCAATCACGCAACGCGCTGCTCGCGTGGTTCGAACATTGGCTCTCAGTTTCGGTGTCCTCATATTATCGCCAGACCCTGTCTACATGCACACAGCTGATTTACGCGATCAGCATGTTGGGGAGATACGCCAAGTTTATCAACTCGAAGGCGTTAAAAAGGGGCCCCGGCGTAACGTCTCTGAGTGTTGCAGCCAGCAATTGCCAGCGGGAGACCACTCTTGTTGTAGAACCGCAAAGAAGCAGCACTTCTGGCTTAACCTCGCCGGCGAGTACGATTGCCGAGTCGCCATCGAGCGTGGAAAAAGAGCCGTGCCCTTTCGTCCCGAAGAGGGCCGACGAATGGTCGAATCCTAGGATCCCAGACGCGGTGGCGTCATTCCAAGAACGTCTGGACAAGGAGCCAGGATTGGAGATTGATGTCACTCGGATCCTCTCGACGTTACGGACTAGGGTTCAGCAGGTCGGAGACCTGATGCAGCAAGCTGCAGTCCCAGAGGAGTCGAAAGACAGCAACCTCTGGGTGATAAGCGCGCTGAAGATCCTCATGATTCAAGAAAAGCTTGAATACTGGGCTAATTCCGTCCTGCAGAAGACGGCCTCGTTATCTTTGAATGATAGACCTGGCGACCAAGCCCCTGACCAGTTTTACCAAAACGGGGCCAATCAGTACAACCCAGATATGGTCGATTTTGGCAGCAGTATGGCTTTCCAATGGACGGGGGACCTTATGCACAGCACTGAAAACTTCGGATGGCTTAACGAATATGGGGACTGGAATATTCCACAATGAGAGTTTTTTGCATTTTGAGATAGACGGAACAACAATGGCCTTGGAGTAGGAAACGGGGATTTATGTTTTAGCAGTGATCAACTAGAGGCAGCACGGTGGAAATAGGAGAGGATGTTGTATATTAGCCAATTATAGAGCGAGCCTTGATGGTTAGGCATAGACCTGAACATGCAATTTTGAGAACATGACCTTTTTATTATTATCATCATCACGAAGAACCCCGTATAGACGATGGTGAGCGTTAGTGAGGTCTCCTGTGCCTTGATCGACGTGGATATTCTCTAGTAAACGCTAGGAATCGTCAGAGACTCGAAGGCCAGTAGTTGTGTGTGGTTGAATAATCAACATGGAAATGTGAAGTGCTTGAGTCGCTTCACTACCTGAAAACTATTCGGTAACAGTCTTACCTGCGTGTCTGGCTTATTGTTTCAGACCGCCCGACCAGTAAAACTGAGGTTGATTTTTAATGCGCTTGCACTTGCAGTTGGAGATGCCTCTGGGCACTTAAACGGCTTGCAGGTGGGAGCGGGGTTGACCCAGCTTTAGCCTTTCTTCAACGTCGCAATTGTCGAGGACATCTATGCGAACTCAGCAATTCTCTCGCTCCAGCATTCACCAACTTATTCGTCATTTACAAAAAGCATAACAATATGGCCGCAAACCAGGACCAGACCACCGAGACGCCTTGGTGGGCTAGCTTTCCCGAGGTGCAGTCTGAATGTCCTCGCCTCGAGCCCGAAGAAGTGAAAGAGCTACTGGATGACGATCCGGCTGCCAAGGGCAAGGATGGAAAAAGAGACTTCCTACTAGTTGACGTCCGAAGGACTGATTGGGAGGGCGGCACGGTGGCAACCTCGATCAACTTTCCTGCTCACACGTTATACCAGACACGCCCAGTGATCTATCAGCTCTGCAAACAGGCCGGCATTAAAAAGATTATCTTCTATTGCGGTGAGTCGGGCCTTGAAGAGACCCTATACATATAATCCATCATAAAATCTCATTCTTCCGAACAGGCAGTAGCAATGGTCGTGGCCCGAGGAGTGCAGGTTGGATGCAGGACTACCTGAATGAAGTGGGGGAGACCCAAATCAAATCTCTGGTCTTGAAAGGAGGCATCAAGGGTTGGCAGAAGAAATATGGGGGCGACCTGATGGACTGGTATGACGAGAAGTTCTGGGCATCTCAGTAGATCAATGCCTGGCCGAAGAGAATCATTTGATCGTACGGGGTATTCGTTTTGATTTTTTTGATTTGCTCAGTCGTCTAGACTGTACGATATATGTCCCAAAGACACAGGCAAGCCATCCATTTGTCCGCAAATAACGCCAGGCAAAATTCCTTATTTCTTTCCTTTCTTTCGTCTGCTCAAGTCCCGCCCGCCTATCGCTGCTTTCGATCGTCACCGCCAATTCTTTCCAGAGCTTCGAGCATCACGACAGAGTTGCCTCTTATGACCTGCAGAACTGTTAGCAAAACCATGCGTCGAGACAGATTCAAGATATGAAGAAGAAGGGTTTGCAACATACCACCATGCCGATTCTGACCTTCTCGCCTCCATCCTTCTCTTCGACCGCGTCGTCTAGCACAATGTTGAGGAAGACCTAGTACTGTTAGAAAACGTCATGAACCATGGCATCGAGGAGATGAGCGTACATCGTAACCGCGGAGAACACCGATGACCTTGCGGCTTCCGTTCAGTTGGACGAACAGGCGCTTGTCGAGGTACTGTACAAAACATTAGTATGGCTGGGCTTAGTGCTTCCTCACATCGCGTGCCAATCATCCCAAACAAGCAAGCCTGTCAGGTAATATCTCGCGGTAGAAGCGAATGATGAATGCTGAAAACAAAACGGACCTTCTTGAGCTCGGGCTGTGCGGGCGCCATCTTGTGCAATTGTTGTGTTGGAGTTGGGCCTTGTAAGGTATCGAAATGCGACAGGACCCGCAAGAATATTGGGAAGTTGCTGCTTTGATGATGTGAAGCTTTAGATGCGCTTTGCGAGTTGCATGGGTTGGCTCCTTAAAGCAGCAGCAGAAGATGGTACAGCTTCAACGCAGGCTGGCCGCTGGCGCCTAAAAGTTGCTAGTCCTTAGGCATCGCTGCTTTATGGATATCCAGCATCACGTGAAGATAAGAACTTTAGAGCTTGCCTACAGGGACCAGAATAACGACAGGCCTTCGCAAATCTCAGAGCATCGGCTTCAGACGGCAACAGAACGACTACTCTCCCAAGGCCCGGATTTTCGTCTTCTACTTTCACAAGGAATGAGCTTGTTCGCGGCGAAGCGCAAAGCGCGTGTGATCAAAGTCTCTGATGATGATGATGCGGGAGACCAGCCAACGTCGTCTAGCGACAGCGGCAATATAGAGTCTGGTATGTATTCCAAGTGCCTATTTCATGATCCTTTTGCTGATTCGGCGTCGCGATAAGAAGGCTGACTTTTTCCGGAACGATGGTAGAAGTATCAAAACCCTTATTCGGATCAAAGAACTCGCGCAAGCCTTTCCGCCAATCTGGCCTGCGCAAGGCGTTCAACCCTCCCAACGACGACACCGAGAATGCAGACCCCGCGCGACCTTCGAAGGGGGAGGATGAGAGTGATGGGCCAGCTGTGGTGCGACCTAATTTTGGGCGAAAAGGTTCCTCGAATGTAAAGAATCGGAAAAAGAAGGCGACAACACTTTCGTTTGGGGACGATGGCGAGGATGCCGGCGAGGAGGAGGAGAGCGCTCTCAAAACGCCAAACAAATTCCCTCTCGGCAAACGCGCGCTTGAAAATAGCTCTCTCAAAAAAGGGCTGGCGACGAGGGGCCTGCCTATGCGGTCGGCGCAGGATGATGATGATGACCGGCCCAAGTATAGTCAAGAATATTTGGATGAGCTCCAATCGTCAACGCCAAATACGCCCCGGGGCATCATATTATCAGCTGAAGAGATAGAGACTATGGATATCGACGAAGCAGAATTGGATGGTGCCTTGATTGTCGAATCTCCGAGCCTCAGCACCCAGCAACAAACTACGATTCTTTCCGAAGCTGAGATACGTGAAAGAAAGGAAAGGAGAGATAGACTTGCAAAGGAGCAAGATTTCTTATCTGTCGAGGATGAAGATGAGGACTATCTAGGGCGAAAAAAGAAGCCAGAAACGCGGCTCAAGCAGGATGAGGATGATATCGGAGAAGGATTCGACAATTTTGTGGAAGATGGAGGTCTGTCCCTAGGAAATCGCGCAGAAAAGGAACGGCGGAAGCGCGATCGAAAAGAAATGGCGGAGCTTATTACGGCAGCTGAAGGCCATTCGTCAGACGACTCCTCCGATAGCGATGCAGAGCGTCGTATAGCCTATGAGTCGGCACAGACTCGAGCAGGTCTCGATGGTCTCAAGAAGCCGAAGAAGGACCCGGCCCAGGAGCTTCTGCAGGTCCCTGCAAAGATCACGGCAATACCAAATCTATCAGAATGTGTCTCGAATCTTCAGATATCCCTCCAAGCAATGCAGGAGGAGATCAGACAAAAGACAGCCCGGGTACAACAATTAAGGAACGAGAAACAAGAGATTTTAAAGAGGGAGAAAGAGGTGCAAACCCTATTAGATGAAACCGGGAAAAAATATCAAGAGGCAATGGGACAGGGGAAAAATGATAATGCAATAGGCCCTGATGCTGGGATTGGCGGCGCGTTCGCTGGTGAGCGCGGGTTAGAAAGTATTGGGAGAACTCCGGCCAGGGATGAGGGCGAAGACGACATATAATTGAATCGAAAGCATTTTATGACTTGAGGAAAGATGTTTCACTTCACCGAGTTAGGCGAAGCATTTAGAACGAGCCCAAGATATCCCAAGCCTAATTTCTTAACTATGGATAGCTCATCACTAAGCAAGCAGCTCCATAAGGAGAGAAGGAGTAATTGTACACTGGTGGGTTGGTCTTTGGATAAGCACCTTGGCACCAAACTTACCACTATAGAAACCCTCCTTCTAGTTGGAACGCTTCGTGAGCTTGACCCAGAAACCCGAAGCCATATGGAATATGGATGATTCGACCTTGATGGGCTTCTCAGGGTCAATCAGCCCGAGGTCGTATCGCCTTAGCAACTGTTTCTTCCGGTCAGTAAAGAACATCTATGCCTAGAAGGCGGCACTGGCTTTCCGTACCTCAAAGACCGCCTTGTGCAGTTCCATCAGAGCAATTGGCTTCCCCAAGCACGAGTATTTACCGGCTCCAAAGTGTGTGTCGACAGCGGCCTGCATGCTTCTAAGCTCTTCTTGGTCCGCGATGAGCCAGCGCTCCGGTCGAAACACGTTCGCGTCCTGTCCCCAGACTGCTTTGGACCGCCCAACCCCATGGAAACCTTGCCCGACATCTGTGCCACCAGGGATGAAATATCCAGCAATGTGATCCCCTCCTGGAGGCACAGTCTTGAAACCTAGGCCGCCCACAGGTGGCCACATCCTAAAACCTTCTTGGACAACTGCCTTGAGGTATGGTAACGATTGAGTCTCGGCCCAGGAGATTGGTGAGCTGACTGTTGCGGATGCTTCTCGGATTTCAGCACAAAGAGAGTTGTATGCTGTCGGGTTGGTGATGAGAGCAAGGAATATCATCCGTAAAGCCTGGGAAGATGAATTTGCACCTGCGATTCTGCCTCGAAAGAGTGAGCTATGTCCTGGACACATCTGTTCGGATACTTGGATAGACCTACATGAAAATAAAAACTTGTTGGATTAGTTCCTCCCGACTCATGCCGCTGTTGATATGCGCCTGCAACATGTCCTGCATGGGATCGGATTGAGGATTAAGTCTTGCGTCAACCAATTGAGTTGCAATGCTATCAGACGTTAGGGGTTAGGATGTTGAACAGAGGAAGATCGCAAAAGACAAACCTCATGAGCCTGCCGAACCCTACATTGTCTCCGTCTTTGGGAAGGGCAAGACGAAACGGCCATTGATGAACAATATCGGTCAGCCATGGTAGAACAGAAACAACGTTCATAACTGGCAGCGAGGTTCTGTTTATCTCGTTGTAGTCGAAAAGGTCTTCATCCTTGGTAAGATAGCCAAAGGGAGTGCCCATGGAGATATCGCCTATGGCGTCTAAAGCGAAGAACTGTGTCTTTTGAGCCAAGTCGAAAGGAATTGTTCTCTCTGCCGTGGAGATGTACTTTCTTTCCAGGAGATCCATGAAGTTCAGAACCTGGCGGTCCATTCCTGGTTCAAAACTGGAACCTTCGGATGCTCTCCCAGCATACTAGAAGACCAATCCGCCACTGTAAGCTTCGATCCAAGGTCTCAAGATAGAGTATTGGAAGTAGACTTACACCAGCCCACATCTTGGCGCGCATTGCTTTGTGTTTTTCCTCATCTCTCATGGATACAACCGTGTCCACGCCTGGGGTCACTTTACCGCTGTCGTAAAATCTGCCCTTTTGGTAACGACTGCGGACGCCAGAAATGCGGCGAATAACCTCTGGATCCGTCGACAGCAGCTCATTCGGCCCAATCCGAACCAGAGGCCCTATGCACCATGTTAGCACTGAAGATCGTGCTATCAGCCAACACTTTGAGTCGACACAAACCATATTCCTCAGCAACCTCGTTCAGAATCTCGTGATAGCGTCCGCTGAGAGCGCCAGAAAGCTGCCACAATATTGACCAACCCGCCAGTCTTGGCCCCGGGATATGTCTTAGGCGATACCATTGGCGGATCTGCTGGACGATGAAGGCAGTCAGAAGCCCCATGCTTGTCCAAACCAGCAATTGCCTCTGGGGCTGTATCCTTTGCGCCGCCCACAGACTCATAGCAATGGTAATTGGTAACGATAATGCATGGTGTGGCCGCTAAGATTGAATCCTACCAACTACCATCTATCTTAAGTATCCGGCCTCGACAAGGATGTAGCATCACTGATTCCCTGGGTGGACCCGTTCAAGCACTGTCCAACCTCTCATAGCCAAGCAATTAGTTTAGACCACAGGTGATATTACTAGGTATATATACCTGTATTACAAACATTCATGTTACGGTGCACGGATCATGATGTGCGGACACATTGAAGTGGGATCCATCGGGGGTAGCGCATGAAGCGAACCCTGCTACCTACTAGGCGCATAGAACAAGATTGCCTTGGATGGGATATGAGTACCGAGCGGAATATTGCATAAAGGTATTCGTGGTTCATATTCACATTAGTTAACAGTAAGTAGACTTGAATCTCAGTTTTACACGCCGCATTAACACGCATGCACTCCCTTGCATCACTAGATCTTTTCCCTCCCTTCTGCTTACCTACTTAGTTGCGTCCTACCCGGATGACACCAGCAGCCATGAGCTTCTGGATCTTGGTCCTCACGCTGGGGTTACGCATATGCTCCTGCAGAGCCTGTGGGTTGGTCTGAGCCTGCTGCAGGATAGACTGCATGACAGGGTCCTGCATGATACCCATGATCTAGTTTAGAGGTGTTAGTGTCTGAGTTTATGGATGAGGTTACTGAGCTGGCAACTTACTTCGGGATCGTTCTGGAGGCGCTCCTTGGTTTGCTCCTCGGTCTCATTATCGCGGGCAGAGTACATGGCTGAGAAAGCCTTCTGTTGTTGTTGCTCAATCTCACGGGCGTTGGCACCGTTGTGGGATGCTTGGTCAACCTCCGCGGCCTCGGTACAGGCATCCACGCATTCCGAGTACTTGCGCATGCCGAAGTAAGCCTGAGCCTTGCGGATATAGGCTCGGATGAAGGTAGGGTCGCGCTTAATGGCCTGGTTGCAGTCATCGAGAGCGCTGGGGAATTCGAAGAGCTTGACGAAGGCAGCAGCGCGGTTGCTGTATCCACGAGGATCGTGGGGGGCACGCTTAATCATCTCAGAGTAAGCGGCGACGGCGCCAGGGAAATCCATCTCCTTGAACTTCTTGTTACCCTCCTCACGGGCCTCCTCAGCCTTGGCAGGATCAACATATGCAGTCTTAGCGGCCTCCGCCTTGGCCTTCTCGGCAGCACGGAGCTTGGTAAGGACATCGGGTGTTCGGTGTTCGGTCAAAGACTTATTGTAGTTCTCAACGGCCTTGGCCGCATCACCCAGGCGCTCGTACGAGGTACCGATACGGGCATAACTCTTCGCAATAAGCTTAAAGTCAGCGTAGATCTCACGACCTTCATCGACTGCCTTCTGGCAGGCTTCAATGCACTTCTCGTAGTCACCCTTCTCGAAGTAGGCAGCGCCGAGGTTGTTGAGGTAGGTGATGTCCTTGAAAAGCTCCCAGGCCTTACTGTAGTGAGTAATGGCCTCATCGAAGTTTCGCTTCTTGTAGTTCTCCGTACCGAGCGCCTTCTCCTTGTCGGCAGCCTCCTTGGCCTTCTTCTTCTCCAATGCCTCTTCATCCACCTCCTCAGGCTCGGGCTCGGGTGCCCTGGCAGGTTCGGGCCTCTTGGGCTCCGGTGGTGGAGCATCGGTCATGGGGAACTCCTGGACGTTGGCGCCCTCAGGCGCAGATTCGCGGGTTTCAAGATCGACACCCATCAACACGCCGAGGACCTGCAGCATCCGTGGGTCATCAAACAACGATTGCATATTCTGGGGGTCCTTCTGAATGAGTTGTAGCTTGGCCATGAACGAGGGATCGGCCAGAAGTGAGCTGGTCTTGGGGTTGGAAGCGAGTTTCTGGATGAGTTGGGGGTCGTTGAACATGTTGAAGATTCCGGCACCAGGGTCTGAAGCCATGGGAGCTGTCACACTTTTGTTAGAAGAACAACCTTAAGAATGTCATCATTGGGGTACATAGCAAGACATACCAGCCTCGTGTTCAATGGCCTTGTCAACTGACGCCAGGCCGCTCTTGAGCTGAGCATTGTTGGGATCTTGCTTCAGACCAGCTTCGTAGGCATCATGGGCGGCAACGAGGTCGCCCTTTCCATGCAAAGCAGCACCTTTACGACCCCATCCTTTGGCCCAGTCGGGCTTGATCTCGGTCGTCTTCTCAGCATCCTGCAGGGCATTGTCCCATTCTTTCTTGGAAGCGTAGGCAGCCGAGCGGTTGCTGTAGAGAATGTGGTTTTCGGGCTGAAGGGCAATAGCTTGGGTAAAATTGTCGCTGTTTCCAAGTCAGCAAAGTTTCACATATTATGAGTAGATCTGCGATAGGGATATGTGGGAGAACCTACATAGCTTCGTCGAAGTTCTTCTCGGCAATAGCCTTGTTGCCTAGAGCCTTGAGCTCGTCCGCAGATGCCATGTTGGGGTATCTAACTGAAAACTGGACTTGCTTCTTGTGATGGACTACGAGAGAATCGGGGCGAAGTATCCGTGGTAACTGCAGGGCGCGAGCACTTGGAGAGGAGGGGAAGCAGTTAGATATGTTTTGGGGGCGAGCTCTACAAAGAAAACCCAAGCCGCTGAAATCGAAACTCGACGAAGCTCCGGGTCGCCTTCTAGGCCTTTCGATGGGCGAGTTCCCCGCACTCAGCTCCTTATTGGGCACCGCTGGCAGGTGGCGCGGACAGCCCCGCGCACCGCCACAGCAAATAAGGCCAGAGCTCGGCAAGCACCATGGCTTGCATGGCTACCTACCTAGATATGTGTTTGAGGACGCGAAGGGAGGATGGATTTTCGTCTTCAAACAATGTGTCTCTGAAAAAAAAAAGCCTAGGGGTGGGCGGAGTAGGAAAGGGGACGAATGAAACTGAGCCGCATCTGTTTCCTGACAGCTCACATCATTCGGCCTGGGAGAATGTCAATGAAAAGCGGAAATCATAGATGAGTTGCAAGTAATTGACCCCAAACATTCCTAACAAGAAATACGTAGTATCAAACATCAAACAACTTTGCTCGTGAGTGCCTGCCTGGGTGCCCCTACCGAAACTAGGGATCACTCCCATGAAGCAGAGCGGGTACTCTAAAGCAATGGCAGGGTTCAATACTTCCATTTGGCATTTAGCCAGCTCCCTTGGCTACTAAATTATTTCATGGCTAAAAAAAGGTACAAGGTAGTCATGCTCCTATCATATACAGAGCAATGATGTAATTTGGACGGGAAATTGATTTACTACCTATGTACATAGTATGTCCTGTGGAAAGGAAAGAGATGACAGCGAAATTGTTTCTAGTGATGGAAGTTTCATCTGCAATATGAGGGCCCAGGGTCGGTTTGTGTCATGATGCATGACGCCGTTTACATCTACATATCGAATGCCCATCTTTAGGCTAGGTGCATGCCTAGCACGGAGCACTTTGCAGCATCAATTTCGAGGCGCACCAGCAGGAGAAACAGGTGGTGGGCTGCTTCAGGATCGGCCGGAACCCCTGGAGCGCCGCCTATCCATGCACCCTGAGGGTCCGTCGCCGGACTGTCTCAACGCTCCTCTCCCAAGCCAAGTCAGCAAGCTGGCCCAAACCTTAACAACCCTCGTGAATCCCACGCCGCCATGAAGTTGCTTGCACCATCGTGAGCACTGAGCATGATTGGGAAAGCAAGGCGGAAACCATTGCCATGAACGCGTTATCCACTGCGGCTAGAGGTATGTCTTAAGTCTAGATACCGCAGGCGCATCCATCTCCCTGCTAACCCTCGCCTCGAAAAGCCGACACGGCCAACGAAGCATCATGGTCCAACATACCCACGAAGCTGCTCCTGGCCGAGCTCCAGAGGCGCAATGACCAAGCCAACGGCGACGCCCAACCGCAAAAACCAGAATGTGGTTCCCGAGATAGGGGCTGGTATGATATGCCAGCACATGTGTTTGCCCTGTTCCTTATCTTGATCATCAGCACCATCAGTGAGATAACCCCTTCCTTATCCAAACTCTTCAATATGACAGCGATGCTAAAGATTGATCTTGCTCTTTTAGGCTGCGGATTTCCCATTATATCGAGACGAACGGCCAGCGGAGGCCGGCGAAAGAGCATCATATTTTACTGCCAGCATATCGGAACCGGAGTTTTGCTTGCGACGGCATTCGTGCATCTACTTCCCATGGCTTTCGATTCCTTAACCGATCCTTGTTTACCAGACTTTTTCATAAAGGGCTACAGACCGTTGCCAGGATTCATCTCCCTGGTATCTGCTATTTTGGTTGTTGGCGTAGAGTCTTACCTCACTGCTCGTGGCGCAGGCCACTCGCACTCCCACCACGAGTACTGGGAGGAGGGTGAGGAAGGGGCCCAAGGGCCGCAAATTCAGCTACAAGAAACCATTGGGCTGTCGAGAAGCAGAGCTGGGAGCCACCGTCCAGGGAACCTATCGCTGGGTGATAGCGAAGCTCAAGGCCTTGTGGCTGGGGTATCTCCGCTTCCGGAGTCTACGCCAACGGGACAGAACGGCAATGCTGGGAAGCGCAAACCGCACATAGTGGACGAATCAAACGATGAGGATTCCGACTTGGATCTGGATATGGATGAACTTGATCCTGCGCCACCCGGCGAACGCCACAACGGTCAATATGCGTCGCTCAACCGACCCAGATCATCAGCACAGGACGACCTCATGACTCCAAACCCCACGGTACCTATGACCGCAGAAGAGCAACACAGACAGGTCCTGCAATGTCTGCTTCTCGAGGCTGGCATCCTCTTTCATAGTGTTTTCATTGGAATGGCCATTTCAGTTGCCACCGGCCCCGCCTTCGTAGTCTTCTTGGTCGCTATCAGCTTCCACCAATGCTTCGAGGGACTCGCTCTTGGTAGCCGTATCGCTGCTATCCAATTTTCGAAGAGATCTTTCCGGCCTTGGTTGATGGTACTAGCATACGGCCTCACAACACCTATCGGCCAAGCCATCGGACTGATTGTTCACAAACTATATGACCCTCAAAGCATGGCCGGCTTGCTCGTTGTAGGCTTTATGAATGCCATCTCATCGGGATTACTGCTCTATGCCGGTCTAGTTCAACTGCTGGCAGAGGATTTCTTGACCGAGAAGAGCTACAAGGTTCTCAAGGGAACCAAGCGCTTGCGAGCATATCTGGCCGTATGTTGCGGAGCTTTGATGATGGCCATAGTGGGCGCATTTGCATAAATGACGAATATAGACCTGGCGTTTAAAACTCGAGGATAATAAAGAGGATAGTTATTTGGACTGTAATTATAAGCGAACTTTTGAAATTCAATGTGGCTTTTACCTTCTCCCCCTGCCTCCCAAGTCTACCTACTATCATTGCCGGGCTGGTCCAGCTCGTCTTCGTCCTGCCCCTGTCAACCTCGCATGCCAAAGAGCTTCGGATAGTTTAAGAGTCCGTCCGAGGCAGCAGGGGTGCAGAAGAGGACCTTTCCGGAGCTTAGACCGAGCTCTACCCACGCGAAACGACAAATCGGCGCAATTGTCCCCATTGTTATCGGACCACTGCATCGCATCATCGAGAGATGGCCGCCCACCCTCATGCTGTTCCACCCTATCAGGATCTCGCCTCGCGTATGCAGCTCCCGTGCCGATGGCCTGGTTCTTCGTGGGGCCGATGCCAGTCGGTACATTCGTGGCAGACTCACAGGCTTGTTCCAGCAGGGCCTGGCCAATCGTGCTCGACCATTTAATCAGCACGCTCGTCCCATAATCACCCCATTCTCCTCCTCCCAAATCGCCTATTGAGACTTGCATATGAAGCCGCTGGGGCTGCACGCTGCTTCTTACTCTTCTAGGATACCTCTTTCCTTGGTCTGACATGGCGTCGCTCAAGTTTGTCGCCTTCATCATCCTCCAGACGATAGCATTTTCCATCTTTCTTAGATCCCCCTACATGATGGCAACCGCTTCACCCTCCAAGCAATGGGCTGATGGGCCAATGGCTCTCGTCACCACGCCCCAGTATGAGACCAAGAAGGTGAGGACAGCCATGTTTGTGTGGAACCTGTAGCAGGATATTTCCATCCACAAATACACACCCATGCATACGCATGTAGATACCTTATAGATATATGTGGACACACGTCCATGAAGTCAGTGGTATTGAGCTTACTGACGGAATCGGGCGGTTTAGACTGACATCTTCACCGTGGGGGCTACCCATATGTGTCTACTGCACAACGCCATCATCCGCGGCTTCAACACAATCTACCTCCAGGCTCCCCATGTTCAAGAAGCAGACAAGAGCGACTTTATCGGCTACTCCCTCACATGGTTCCGGTTTGTCAAGTCTCACCATGACGATGAAGAGTTTAATCTCTTCCCCAAGATGGAGGAGGTTCTGGGTGACAAGACGATATGGACTGAAACTCATGAGGAGCACGGTATGTCCCTCCGCCCCTGTTACTCCCCTTACCATTGCCATATACCTACCAATAGCCGCGCAAAGATCACTACACTCTGCTAACAACGTCTCGCAGAGTCCTTCCTAGGTGGTCTCGGGGAGTTCTACAAGTACCTAAGTGAACTGCCGTCGCCCTCTGACCTATCAGCCAAGGAACTCATCCGCATCATGGACTCGTTCCGTGACGACTTCGAGGGCCACTTCCACAGCGAGATCGCCACCATCGCCGCAATGCAGGAACACCCCAAGGCCCCGGCCGAGGGCTCCGAGGAAGCCACCGCCGCCGGCCTCATCTTCAAGACGTGGGGCAAGGCGACCGTCACCAAGGCCGGCACCTGGGACGTCGTCCCCTTCTTCCTCCTGAACCTGGACCGCACCGTCGAGGACGGCATGTGGGCGAACTGGCCGCCCATGCCCGCGCCCATCAAGTGGGGGCTGATCAACCTAGCCGGTTCTTGGTACGGGAGCTGGTGGAAGTTTGCCAGCTGTGACGCCCAGGGACAGCCGCGGGAGCTGTATGCCCTGGAGGCTGGCTCTGGCGAGGCGCCAAAGTCTGAGCTGTGAGATTTTGTCGGGACTTGACGCTTCGAATGCAAGTTGATGATTCTGAATCCTTGCATAGCATGTGAGGGTATTCTGTAATTTATGATAGCATGTTTTCAATTTCACTCAACCAACGCTCTCAAACTTTAACCGCGGTCCGTCGCTCTCTTTATGACGCAAGACATGAGTATGGTTTTCCTCTGCACTTGTCAACTCGCTCGCTTATACAAGACCAGCCGCGGCAGAATCGAGCGAGGTATCTTCTGTGCTGCCTTAGTAGTCGTCATTGAACACATCCTGTATAAACGACCAAAATAGGAAATATTGACAGAACGTCTTCTCTTCGTCACGCGCACTGGATCTAAAAAATAAACTGGCAGACGGGGAGGTGTAAGCGATGCCCAGTATCAACGTAGGACGCACCAGGAGGAGCAGGAAAGAATGTGACGAGGTAGATTCCTCCAGGGGCAGAGTTGGATATGACAATTACACAGTGCGACGTTCTATGCAATGGCTACATTCACAAACTGGGATGATATCCCGAGTGAGGGGAGAAAGTTTGAGTGAAACAAATCACCGTGATAAACGAAATCGCACCGGTTTGGGGTAATGGCGGTCAGAAAAAACTGGTTTCTTCTCTATGACTCTCGTTTGGAGCTGACAAGCAAGCATAGTTGGAGGTGAGACATGTTTCTGGAATGCAAGTGAATCAACTCACTTGACCGTGTGGCAAGACGTCTCCTGTTTGTTCGTCACAGCCACTCGCCAGTTGCCAGTGCATCACCCACTCGAGACGATGCTTATCACTCCAAGTCACTTTTGGGGGGGGAGTAGAGCTACTTGGTCAAACTATTCTGCCTCGCAGTAGACATCTGCTTTTCCCATCTTGTCTCATTGCAACCCAGCCAGTATCTTGAAAATTCCACAACATCTCGGTTTGGATCAACCGTTGTTGCCGCCTCCACTCCACGCACGAAGCAGATCGCCGACACAACATACGCAGATCGACGGATCCAATCAAGTAGTCAAGATGGGCTGCTTTCATTCCAAAACGAGAAATAGGCCAGAGGACGCTGCATTAGCACCGCGACTCTCTGAGCCTAACTACCAACAGTTAGTCCTCCCGTCAACTCCATCGAACGCCGGTGACACTCTCCAACCCGCTAACACTCAACTCCAGGACCGCCTCGAATGAAACCTCTGGCCAAGCCCACATGGCAGCGGGGGGGACAGATTTCGCCATGAGGCAGGATGCGGCTCCTCCTGCATCTCAGGACATCGGGATCGCAGTGGCGCCGCCGCCAGAGAACCGGAAGGCCCCCTCAGAACGATCCATATCACCAACAAGTAATGCTGGTGGAGCTTCTGTGCTACCTCAGGTATACCACGAGACGGCACCTCATGATTTCGCCCGCTCATGAAAGAGAAAAAAGCTCCAGACTTCTGACCACAGGAAGCATTAGCCATCGGCGGACGTTGCTGCCCCCAGTGCGAGTTTCACGGCGCCAGCAACCAAGGGAGATGAGCAGAGGGGCTCCCCCAAGTCCAGTTCGAGTTCGAGTTCAAGCTCAAGCTCCAGTTCCAGTTCCGGCTCCGGCTCTAATCCAGGGTCGAAACGAGCACGTTTGGGGCTGGAGGTCTAGTAAGCGCTCGTTTGTTTCGGGACTGGGAGCAAGATTTTGTGTTTATTGATTCTATGCATTCTAATCATCATGTTTTTCGATTTTCTTTTTCGAATTTTTTTTTTAATTTTAATCATTGGTTTGGTCTGGCCGGTTGTGGACTTTACAGGCTCACACGAGGTGACGGACAGAAGGATATTCTATTCAAGATAATGGATTGTTTAGCCCCGCGTTATAAGAAAAGAATTGGAATGTGATATTCCCATGTCTCCTTTAATTATCCAAGACAGGCATGGAGCCCATCCATCAATCCATCTTCCGTGTCTTGGTTGTTTCATCGTTCGTCCAAGTTGCATCAAACTCGAACTTGCTCAATTATTGCCTTCAAGAACTTTCGCATGACACGAACATGGCACTAACATGACATGGGCCAAGGATCGAAAATGCAGCCCATCACTGCACGTCTATTTACCACCTGTAAAGTGCCGGCAGCACTGCAGCCTGCGTCAGTTCAAGGTTCTTTCTTTTAACTAGCCACCGCAGACGCCGCAAAGATACAAGATCAGCTGCTGTCTCGTGTTTTTTCGTGCTTCCACACTCTCCACATCTGCACAGCTGGTCGAGTCTTTGGCTGAGCTGAAAGAACATCCTCGTCCAGCCCCGTCCAGGATAAGGAAAACTTGCTCAAATGCTCTCAAGCCCCCAACGCCAACACGCCCGACTCGTGAAATTTCTCTCGCCACTGTATGCACATAACCTACCCGCATCCTGGTTATTCACTGAGGTAGGCATGCTTTATGCGGAACAATCAAGCCGCGGTTAACCCTGATTTGGCTTATACTAGGGAGGCCCTCCCTTCGCTGGTGTCCACCCGAGACAACAAACGGAACCTGCTCAAGGCCTCGTGTGAACACTTGATGAAAATCATTATCCCTCTTTTTGTCCATTCCCCGCGTCCCCTGTCGCGGGTCTTATTGATAAATACTTGTTGTTTTGTCTTCCTCTGCCTTCCCTCCGCCTAGCCCTACCTCACTCAACCTTCTTACCACAACATCCCAACTTCAACCCCCCCAAGCCGCAGTCAATCTCATATCATTGCGAAAATGGATCATAGCGGCCATACCGGAATGGACATGTCGTCCATCACCAGCACCATCGTCGACATGACCATGGACGCAACAGCCACCGTCATGAACATGGCCACCTCGACGGCCACAGACAGCGCGACCATGGACCACTCCAGCATGTCCGACGACAGCAGCATGGACATGGGCGGCTGCAAGATCAACATGATGCTCAACTACTACACCATCGACGCCTGCTTCATCAGCGAGGATTGGAAGATCACCTCCCAGGGCATGTTCGCCGGCTCCTGCATCGGCGTCGTCTGCCTCGCCGTCTTCCTCGAGTTCCTCCGCCGCGCCGTCAAGGAGTACGACAGACTCCTCGTCAGGCAGCACCTCGCCAGGCACGAGTCCGCCAGCTCCGGCTCCGGCTCCAAGGACAGCGCCGCCCCCGCACCCGCCGCCATCCCCCCCTTCAGGCCCAACTTCTGGCAGCAGGCCGTCCGTGCCATCCTGCACACTGCTCAGTTTACCGTCGCCTACTTC